GTCTGGGACGGTAATCTGTAAGTTTTTTCCCCTTTGAATAAATAACCATTCTATTAATCATAATTCCAAACTGGTGTGGGATTGTTTGTGACTTACACCTTCACTTGGGTGCTGGGATTTCTTAGTGATTCTAAGAATATAAAATACTCCGGCTGCCCTGATTTTCCTCTTGTGCATGCTTACATAAGCTTCTCTCTGACAATTCTTTCTTTCTTTCTTTCTTTCTTTCTTTCTTTCTTTCTTTCTTTCTTTCTTTTTTTAAATAGAGAACAGTGTTTTTTATTATTATTATTTTATTTAAGAAAGAAAGACACTGTAGATACCCTTAATGCATTAGGGAAATTATGATCTGAGAACATTTAATAAATTACAACTTAAGTCAGGGCAACTCCTGATGAAGTTAAGTAACACACCAGACGAGGAGGGAGGGAGGGAGAGGTAGATAGGAGGGAGGATACCCTCAGTCACAGAAACAATAAACAATTCACCATTGCCTATTTTTTCCTCTCTGTAAACTTCAATCCACAAATATAAGATGTCCATTGCTACAAATCATCATTTTCCAGATGAGGAAATGCAAATGACCCATAGATATATGGGAATAATTTTTTTAATTTAATGGATTTTTATTGAGCTCTACATTTTTCTCTGCTTCCCTCACTGCCTCTCCCTTCCCCTTCAGCCCTCTTCCAAGGTCCCCATGCAAGGTCTCAATTTACTCAGGAGATCTTGTCTTTTTTACTTTCCATGAAGATTAGATCTATGTAAGTCTCTCTTAGGGTCCTCATTGTTGTTTGCGTTCTCTGGGATTGTGATTTGTAGGCTGGTTTTCTTTGCTTTATGTTTAGAAACCACTTATGAATGAGTACATGTGATAATTGTCCTTCTGGGTCTTGGTTACCTCACTTGAAATGGTGTTTCTAGCTCCATTAATTTGCCTGCAAAATTCAAGATGTCGTTATTTTTTTCTGCTGTGTAGTACTCCATTGTGTAAATGTACCACATTTTCCTTATCCATTCTTCAATTGAGGGGCATTTAGGTTGTTTCCAGGTTCTGGCTATGACAAACAGAGCTGCTATGAACATAGCTGAGCACATGTCCTTGTGGAATGATTGAGCATCCTTTGGATATATACCCAAAAGTGGTATAACTGGGTCTTGAGGAAGGTTGTTTCCTAATTTTCTGAGGAATCATCACACTAACATCCAAAGGGTCAGTTTGCATTCCCACCAGCAATGCAGAAGTGTTCCCTTTACCCCACATCCTCTCCAGCATAAGTTATCATTAGTGTTTTTGATCTTGGCCATTCTTACAGGTGTAAGATGGAATCTCAGAGTTATTTTGATTTGCATTTCTCTGATGGCTAAGGGTGTTGAACATGTCCTTCAGTGTCTTTTAGCCATTTTAGATTCCTCTGTTGATAGTTCTCTGTTTAGGTCTGTACTACATTTTTAAATTGCATTATTTGTTCTTTTGATGACAAATTTCTTGAGTTCTTTGTATGTTTTGGAGACCAGACCTCTGTCTGATGTTGGGTTGGTGAAGATCTTTTCCCATTCTGTAGGCTGTTGTGTCTTGTTGACCATGTCCTTTGCTTTACAGAAGTTTTTCAGTTTCAGGAGGTCTCATTTATTAATTGTTTCTCTCAGTGTCTGCACTACTGGGGTTATATTTAGGAAGTGGTCTCCTGTGCCAATGAGTTCAAGTGTACTTCCCACTTTCTCTTCTATGAGGTTCAGTGTGGCTGGCTTTGTGTTGAGGTCTTTGATCCATTTGGACTTGAGTTTTAAGCATGGTGATAAATATGGATCTATTTTCATTATTTGACATGTTGATATCCAGTTATGCCAGCACCATTATTAAATATGCTTTCTTTTTTCCATTTGATATTTTTTGCTTCTTTGTCAAAAATCAGGTGTTCGAAGGTGTGTGGATTAATATTCAAGTCTTTGATTCATTTCCATTGGTCCTCCTGTCTGTTCTTATGCCAATTCCAGGCTGTTTTCAGTACTGTAGCTCTGTAGTGGAGTTTGAAGTCAAGGATTGTGATGCCTCCAGAAGTTCTTTTATTGTATGGAATTGTTTTGGCTATCCTGTTTTTTGTTTGTTTGTTTGTTTTTTTGCTTTTCCATATGAAGTTGAGTACCATTCTTTCGAGGTCTGTGAAGAAATTTGCTGGGATTGCATTGAATCTGTAGATTTCTTTTGGTAAAATTGCCATTTTTACTATGTTAATTCTACCTACACAAGAGCATGGGAGATCTTTCCACTTTCTGGTGTCTTCTTCAATTTCTTTCTTCAAAGATTTAAAGTTCTTGTCATACAAGTCTTCCATTTGTTTGGCTAGAGTTACTCTGAGATATTTTATGCTATTTGTGTTTCTCTGATTTCTTTCTCAGCCCATTTATCATCTGTGTACAGGACGACTTATTTTTTTTGGTTAATCTTGTATCTTGCTACATTACTGAAAGTGTTTATGAGTTGTAGAAGTTCCTTGGTAGAATTTTTGGGGTCGCTTATGTAAACTATCGTATCATCAGCAAATAGTGAGAGTTTGACTTCTTCTTTTCTGATTTGTATCCCCTTGATCTCCTTTTGGTGTCTTATTGCTCTAGCTAGAACCTCAAGAACTATGTTGAATAGATATGGAGAGAGTGAACAACCTTGTCTTGTTCCTGATTTCAGTGGGATCAGTGGGAGTTTCTCCCTTATGAGAATAATTTAAATTTGTGTCTCAAAAAGGTTTTTAAAACCCCTCAAAAGTACAATATCTACATATAGATCAGATTAACCAAAATTTAAAAGTTAGCTAATATTAATTTGTCAGCAAGAATATGGAACACTGGAGGTTTTAAAATTGGCTTGAGTTATGATAACATGGTTCAATCACTTTGTAAAACAATTTGTCTTCAACTAGTGAAACTGAATATAGCATACGTTATGACCCAGCAATTTTTGTCCTATGTATCTCAGAGAAACTTCTATTCAAAAACCAGAACATACTCACAGAAGCTTTATTCCTATTAATGAAAATCTCTATGCAATCCAAACATTCATCAACAGCTGGCTAAAAAAAGATTAAGTATGCACAGAATACCACAAACCAGTGAAAATGAGTATTTCATCTATCAGCTCAACTGTCTACCTATCCATGTATACCTGAATATCTCTGTGTGTGCACGCATGCGTACACATACACACATGCACGCACACACACTGCATAATGTAGAACCATAAAAGGAAATTACAGAAGCAGAGATACATGGTGCAATCAAACTGGTATGACCATATATTTGAAGTACAGCGATAAAACATATTGAATGATTCAACTTGAAAAAATGTTAGAAGCAAAACAAAGGAAATGGAATGTTTGGAGAATAAGCACTACTTAAAGTTGTGTGTTTGTTTGCTTTTTTTTAAGATTTGGTTTTTTGAGACAGGGCTTCTCTGTGTAGTACTAGGTATTCTGAAACTCATTCTGTAGATGAAGTTGGCCTCGAACTCACAGAGATCCACCTGATTCTGCTTCCTGAGTGCTGAGGTTAAAGGCATGTGCTGAAGAATATTCTTTTAAGGTGTGGGGATATTCTTTTAAGGTGTGTGACTTTTGTTTCTGGTGCATTTGTTTAACTCTTTAAAGCTGTGATTCTTTGCCTGTCTAAAACACCTGAATCTAATAAAGAGCCGAACAGCCAACAGCGAGGCAGAAGAAAGGATAGGCGGGGCTAGCAGGCAGAGAGTATAAATAGAAGGAGAACTCTGGAAGGAGAGAAGAAAGAGGAACAAGAGGACAAGAAAAGAAGGATGCTTGTCACCTAGCCACCCAGCCACCCAGCCCCAGTCACGGAGTAAGAAGGAAAGTAAGATATACAGAAGTAAGAAAGAAAAAGGCCCAGAGAGAAAAGGTAGATGGGTTAATTTAGGATAGGAAAAACTGGCAAGAAACAAGCTAAGGCCGGGCATTCATAAGTAATAATAGGCCTCCGTGTGCGTGATTTATTTGTGAGCTGGGTGGCAGGCCCCCAAAGAGTGAAAAGAGCAAAAAGAACACCCAATAAACATGTACCACCGCTGCCTCACTTGTGTTCTTAATAGGAGGTCTGTGCTCAGATTCCCCCCACCATGGGTCAACGCGAGCTCACTGAAGGCACAGTACTATTGTATCTTCTTCTCTGAATATCTAACACCAAGAGAGTACCTGACACAAAAGAGGTGCCCAGAAATGAGTATTTGTTAAGTTCATGCATACATATATGGCCAAATAAATTAATTTCCACAGAGTAGGCCTAAGGAATAGTATAGGAAAGCAGAAGCCATAGAATCAAATAATCAAAACAATTGACTACATTACAGACCAACCCAGCCAAAAAGAAATGTATGGCAAAGGAAAGGCAATGGGCAAAATGGGAAAAAAAAAATGCGGTAAAATGTCAGGCAAATTATATAAGCCCTGTACAGGATCAGGCCAGTCAATGTTCCAGCCTGGAGATTCCCTACCCCTGACTGAGGAGCTCTCAACAGTTCATGGTTTCCGAGAAATGAGTCAGGTTTTCTTTAAAAATGTGGTCCTTGTGCTCTGGTGGAGGACCCTGCACCCAAGAGTGTACAGGCAGAACAAATTGAACTTGGGAACTTGGTGGAATATATATATGTTATACACACACACACATTATGTATATATAATTTAATTTTATTATTTTTTAAAGAGGGAACAAGGTTTAAAAGGCCAGGGAGTTGGGTGGATCTGGGAAGAGTTGGTGGGAAAGGGGAAGTGGGAGTCAATATGACTGAAATATATTGTATGTATACATGTATGAATTCTCAAAAATTAGTAAAAGTATATTTAAAATGTTAAGTAAGACGTTACTGTCCCTCATTGACAGATGGTTGCTATGAATCTATGAAGAAAAAAATGAAGCCGGGCAGTGGTGGCACACCCCTTTAATCCCAGCACTTGGGAGGCAGAGGCAGGCAGAGCTCTGTGAGTTCGAGGCCAGCCTGGTCTACAGAGTAAGTTCTAAGACAGACTCCAAAGCTACAGAGAAACTCTGTCTCAAACAAACAAACAAACACACAAACACAAAAACAAAACCCCCAAGATTCTGCATATGTCAGTTCCACATATGCTCATAATTGAAATTATCAGTTGTTTTTGGTGCTTTCTCTACGGGGTTCAGACGGGCAGTTCTCACTTAGAATCCTGTGCAGTTGTAGGCAGATGAAAGAGAGGGTGCACATCCCTGTGAAAGCTCCTTCTTAGTCTGCAGTTGCTTCTGGCTGCTTGCTGGAAACGACTTGTGGTTTTCTATGAGGCTCAAGTTTCACACAGCATAGAACCTAGGTCCAAGCAGAAGCATCCGACCAGCCAATATTGCAAAAGACCCTGGGAGAATGTGAACAGCTGGTACTCAGAAAGCCTCAGAAGTCGCACACACACACACACACACACACACACACACACACACACACACATCTCTGCCATAGTTCTTGTCCAGTTAGGCACACAGCTCAGCTTAGCTCAGAGCATCAAATGCTCCATCTCCATTTCCAATGCAGAAGCCTCATATGTACCCAAGAAGGAATGACGCAGGGGACAGCCATCTTTGTAGGATGTCTCCTCTCCCATTTGCTGCTTGCTTTCTGTGCCACTCAGCAGACAAATGAAGTCAGGTTACCTTTCCAGGAAGGTACACATTTTTTTGCACATCTATTAAAGCCCACTCAATGTTTAGTGACGGTGTAATTTGTGTTTTCCTAATGTGCGTTCTTTTTAAGTCATATGTATTTTTTTTAAACCAACTTGTTTCTGGAAATCTATAGTGATCTGCCTTCTGTAAATGGCTAACTTTGACGCATACCTTCAAGGTCATCTTGTAGCTTTCAAGAAATGACACGCAGGGCACTTCCCCTCCATCGTTGAACTGTACCTTGTAGTTACTGAGTTACGGGACATAGTGTCGTGTTGACTTGCAGTATTTGTGGGCATGGTTGTGTGTACGTGTGCACACACGGTGGGGAGCAAGGTGCCACTGAGCTCCAGATTAGAGAGGCGGCCTTGCGTTTGTTGGAATGTTCGAGCAGCCCAAAGGGTTCTTGTGTACAAGCTCTGTCTTTCCTAACTCCTGTTCTGATCTTGCTGCGGAAGGTCATGCCAGCTGCTTAATTACATGGAAAGTTATGAAACCGCCCGGGCAGCAGAACACTGCTCAGCTGTGGGCTCCTGAAGGAAAATAAACTCTTGCAACGAGCATGGCTGCCAGCCACCAGGCATGTCTGTCCGTCCACGCCCGCGTGTATAGCTCCCTTGTGTGAGAGGGTGCCTATGGCTGGGCAAAGGCCTGCCCTCACCTTTCTCACAGAGCCATTGGTCAGAGCACAATAGTACCATTTGAATCCGCAAGAGATTAAATCTGAGCTCGTCAAGTCAGACTTTTCCTTTCATTGAATGTAAACAATTAAACCTCTCTGTGGAGGCTTTCCTGCTCATTCCACGGTGTACCCCAAAATAACCACCGGGAGCGCCGAAAACAGGCGTTATGAAAGAGATGCTCCTGCGGTTTAAAGTTCGCCTGGCTCATCTGCCCCTCAACCATCACCTTTGGGGGGGATCAATTGCTAATAAATCTGAGTCTGCAAGAGAGGGCTCTTGTCCGGGTTCAGTCTGTCTGTCAGGTGCCGAGCTTGGCTTCAGGCTCACCTACCAAGCACACAGATTTTGGCCCTGTCCACATTGCCCTCACAGAGAAGGCTCCAAGGGAGCCCTCTGGGGAAGCAGAGGCAGAGGGATTTCTGTCCTGAAGAACCTCTTTTCTCAGGAGCAGGTGGGATCATCTCTAACTCTTTGCTTCTACAGGATACAGCTTGCCCACTGCGAAGGGGTGGGGTTCTCTCTGATTTCCCTGATAACATTTGGAAAAAAGAAAAAGTCAAGCTCCCAAGCCAAAAGACAACTTTAACCCTCTACTCACAGAGCCCAAGGTCAACCAAAGGTCACACAGGCAGTCCTGGTCAGCTCCCTCCAGGCTGCCTTTGCTTCTGCAGACACCAATAGTTGGAATCCAGGTCCAAAAAGGCTCACCTGTTGGCTCCAAGGCTAACTGGGCACCGGAATTGGTGAAGTGGTGTGAGGTGCCTATGGGGGCGCAGAGGTGACACTGGTAGAGGCTCACGCTCCCACGGCTGCCCCCCCTTTCTTGAAACCTAATTTAAACCATATCAAAGTTTTCATAAAGACATTCCTGATACCATTGTGCTGTAAATCCTGTCTGATCCGACCTTCAAATACTCATGCAAACTAAAATGTGTCTGGAAAGAAGTCAAAACAAAGCAGATACGCCACACGTCGCTTTGCGGCAGTCCCCTCCTTCCTCATTTACATTTCAGCTCAGACCTCTCCAACCGGCTCCCGACTGTGTAGGCCAGTTAATTAGTCATAATTGCCGCGGCTGTTTCTCTGAACGCGCTGATGGCCTGGTGTCTGGAAGCCGGCTTAGCCCAGCGTTTGCAGCGTGTGTGAACTGCGTTGGTAGTGTTATTTTCGTGAAAACTCATTACGGATAAGTGCAGTTAGTTTAGTCCTCCTTCAAGACCTGCCGTAGCAATAATTTGCTTTCTCCAAACATCTCCAGGTTGGCGTGTCTCAGGAGCTGTGACCTCCGCCTCCACGTTGGCTCTGTCATTACAGTGGGCTGCTTTGCCCAGGAGCATTTTGGGTGCCGCGCTCTCGCTCGGTTTCGGATGCAGTTTGCTAATGATAATTTGCGTCACTTGCAAGTTGTAGCAACATCGAGATCTCGCGGTCTATCTTTTGGATCGTGACACCGTGTAATTAGAGACAGTGGAGAATGGGAAAGCAAAATGACTGTGAACTCACATTACTGTTCCGAAACCAAAGGAAAGAGAAGAGGAAGTGGCTGTTTGTGTTAAGGACGGCCTGCTCTTAGGCTTCCACAAAGGAGTTCTGCGATCTGGCGCGTTTAAAGTGGAAATAAATGATCTTTGTTCTCACAAGGTTTGCCTGCCTAGATTATTAGTGGTTTGAATCCCTTGCAGCGTACTGAACACTAACACAGAGCTATGTTTAGAGAGATCAGAATAAGGGGTTGCGAGTAGAGACCCTGTATACTGTGGGTTGCATCCAAATACCACACCTCATTGGGGTTTTATTCTGTCTTATGATGCAGGCAGGGTATGTATCCATGACTCCATTCGCAGATGATGAGGAAATTGAAACTTGAAAAGGTTAATTAGCTTACTGGCCTTTGGTGCCAAAGCTGGCGAAGGCCAAGATTAGGAACCAAAAAGCTGCGTCTCTATGGCGTGGCTTTCTTCTTTACATCTTAAAGACTGAAGGGTGAGGAAGTAATATGAAAATTCCGGTAAAAACAAAATGAATACATATGTGTGTATACATACACACATGTACATATGTATGTATATATTCAGGTACATGTGTGTGTATGCAAATATCCATAATACACATATATTCATTCTCATCATCATATATTCATATATGTATGAGTTTGGACTGAATAGAATGTGAGATGGTGTCACCATTGTCCTCTCCACAGCAGCGCCCTTTCTTGTGCAGAGTGGACAGAGAATAGTGGCTGGCCTGTCTGGGTTCATGGCCTTATTACAGCCAGGATCTATGTTGATGTCCATTGTCCCTGTAACCACCCAATGCCATACAGATGCCCGGGGTCTAGCCTGCCACCTGAGATCACGATGGTGCCTGAGAGTCATGCTGCAGCTGTGCCATAATGTTCTGAGTACCCTGGGCTGCCACCTGGGGCCATGGTGACATCCAGGCCTCGACTGTTGCTGGGGACCATGTCTGGGTCTGTGTTCCGGACACAACTGGGGTCTATGTTTATGTATATGGCCCGTGTTGCCACCAAACGCCACATGGATGCCAGAGATCTGTGGATATGTTGATGTTTTAATGCTGTGCCACCTCTGGGCCTATGCCAGTCTGAGCTGCTGCCAAGGGCTATCCCTGAGTTCATTGCCCTACTACAGTCACGGTCTGAGTTGACGTCTGTGGCTCCTGTTACCACTGAGAATCAGGCAAATGCCCAGGGTCTGATCAGCCACCTTAGACCATGATGGTGTCAGAAGGCCATGCTGCTGCCAGGGCCATACTGATCTGGGTGGCCTGTGATGCCCTGGTGATGTCCGGGCCTAAGCTGCCTATGATGATGTCTGGGTCTGTGATCCTGTGGCAGCTGGTGTCTGTGTTGATCTCCATGGCCTATGTTACCACAAGGGGCTATAGGAACCATGTATGTTGAAATCTGAGGGCCACCCTGAGCTGGCACCACTCTCTGGTGACCCTGGAAGAGCTGGCCCTGCTCCTCAATGTCCACTGCTGCAGAAGCGCTGGCGCTGCCCCTCATGGGAAAGCTGGCCCAACACACAGGAGAGAGGGCTTCACCCCTCAACGCAGGCATAGGAGAGCTGACTCTAACCCCTTACCTGGGGGGGGGGGCAGTTCCTGCATCCAGGACTGACCAAATCAGCTACCATGCAGACACACATCTAGGGTTTTGAGTTGGTCCAGCCCAACATCTACCCCATCTATGACCTGCTGGAGTGTGGGAAGGGACTGGTCCTGCAGAACCATAGCCACAGAATCGCCATGACTCAGGGCGACAACAGGATAACCAAGAGGAGTTTGGGTGAGGGTCCAGGGTTGGATGGTGACCAGAAGCTAGAGGCTTGAACTAGACCAACAACTCATTGCCATGAATGTTTGCTGAAAAAGCTGAGAGTACAGTAAGGGCATATGCGTGACAACCGCAGCTCCCCACGCCACCTAAGACGAATGAAGAGCCACTGGAGAGCTGGGAAAGATGGAGGGAAAGGGGTTTTTGTTTGTCTGTTAGTTTTAATTTTAATTAATATTTTTAAAATTTGCTCAAGGTGGGTGTAACTACCAGGGTGAAGAGTAGATATGGAGGGACTGGGAAATGAGTGGATTGGGGTACATGATGTGCCATTACCAAAGAATCATTAAAAAATTATGTTAAAAAGTTCCTTAGCTTTGAGGAACAATAGGAAGGGAGGTACAGCGAAGCTACCAATTCTTGGCTCTGCCAATGCTGAAGAGCACAGGAAAGGGAGAAAGGCATTGAGCTGATTTACTGTTTGTTCCATATTCAAATGGAAACAGTCTTCCTAGCTCAGACATCGTGAGTTTCTGAGCGCCTCAGGGGAGCTGCATCGACTAAAAAGTAAGTAGCGTGTCATTTAATACTGCTACGGAATAAGCCTTTTGATCAAGATACCAGTAAAGAAAATTTGAGGGATATCTTCAAATTTGGGGGCTCCTCTGGACAGGGCAGATATTCTTTTTATCGTCAATGAAAATGCACCACTTCCTGTTTGAAATTTCTCTTAAAGAAGGATTTGCTGATGACCCTGATGGCGACAAAGAGGGTGATGATGATGAAGAAGAAGATGACTCCTCAGGGAGTGACAGTGCCCGAGTAGAAAGGCAGAGGACGCTTGCTGAGTGTTTGCCATGAGCCGGGCGTGCAGCTTAGCGATCCTTATAAAGTCCCAGTTATCACTGTCTTAACCTTGAAGGATGAAGAAAGGGAGGAAAACAAAGTGCAGAAATGTGTCCCAAGAGTCACCGTGCCCATCAGCTGGTGGTAGCTTTGAACTGACAGCCTGGCTCCCCATTTAATCCCTTCCCTGAGTTGTTTGGTTTCTTAGAGTCCTCCAGCTGATGCTCCCCTCCCCGCTCCCCCGCCACGAAGACAAAGGTTTCCCCATGGTGTCAACTCTCAGAGTTCTTGGATGGGTAGGGGGAGGAAACCTGGCACTTAGTTCACGTGGAACGTGGACTCCGGTGGTGCTGAGCAAACTGGAAGAAGGTGACTCCGGACTTAACAGAAATGTGAGACGTCATTACTATCGTCCTCCACAAAACTGCCCTTCTTTGTGTGAAGTGAGAGGGGACAGAGGTTGGCCTGTCACTGCTCTCCAAAGGAGAGTCAGGAAGTAGAATTCGAGTCTACTTTGCTGTGACCCACCCAACCTCAGAGCCTCCGCCTTCTAGGATATGAGCACCTGCTGTCTCCCCATTTGTGCTTGGGCAGTGAGCAAGGTGGGCTACGTCTTTCTCTTCTTTCTTTTTTCTTTTCAGGTATGGCCCTTTAAAAGGGTGGACTAAGCACTTCTATTGCGTTTTTCTGTTGACTGTTGCTTTGTCTTATAGTCCAAGCCAGTTGCTTTACACCCATTTTATATAAAGTAACAGGTATGGAATTTCACTCAGTTTCATCTTAGGCTTCTCATCCCCTTATCTGTGGTCTCTGAATTTTCGGGGGTAGTTGGATTTAAAATGATTCACGAGGACTGTTTGTTCAGTCTCCTCAGGCATTAATAGTGATTGGCAGTCAGCAGAGATTTTAAAAGCCAAGGGCGAGAGGGAAAACAAATTTGAATAAATGTCTATGACCAATGTCCCTGAGCGCAGGCTCTATAAGATGCCTGAGGAGCCACTCTCCCTTCTGAGGTTTGCTGTCCCAAAATGAAGGTTGCAGGGACACTAGCCCACTTGAACATGTGACTCAAGCAGGCCTTGCTCTTCTCCCTGGTTTCCCTTGCATTCCTAAAGCTATCCACCAAGGTCCAGTTATCAAAGTCTTAAAGCAACCAGAAGCCCCCTTAATTAGGTTCACCTAATTAACATGCCCCATCAAAATATACCACCACATCCTAGCCCATTCTGACACAGGCCGCCCCTTTTTCTCTTCTTAGAAATTATAAGGTCAGGTGCTCCTGTTTTTCTGCCGGAGACAGAAAGCAGCCCCTTTAACACCCTCTCCCCTTCCCCCATAAAGGATCTCTCTGTGAAAACAGGATTTTGGGTGTTGTTTGTGACTAATTCAGGGTCTGAGAGGGAGCCCCTGCTGTGTGTGTGTGGGTCTCCTTCAGAGCTGCTTCCTGGGGAGCCTGGGCTATTCGTGCTGGTAACTTGTATTCCTGTCCACCTGAGGGACAAATCTGTCTCCTCCTAAAGAGTGGTTTGTTTACTGTACAGAGTAATAAGGCAGACAGTTTGGTGAAACAAAGGGAAACTAACAATTTGTCTCAGGTGGGGCTTCCGGAAGCACAAGCGATTTAGTAACCAAGCACTCTGGGCAGAAATGATTAAGATACTGGGGGACTGGACAGCTCAGAGGAGAAAAGGAGCAATGGGTGATCTCAGGCGAGCGCCACTGATAGCTGAATTTGCAGACAGTTGTGAAATCTAGATTGTACAGTAGCCTGTGTCACCTCAGCAGAGATGAGGGAGTGGGTTTCCACCATAATTACAGCATGATTTGGTGATG